ATATTGTTCATCATTAATAGATTTAATGTTTAATTTTATCTACCTACGTATTTCTTACAATTTACTTCAGATAAAATTTTAGTTATCAACATAAAAATGTCTGACAGGGATAACTGTTACTATTCATCATTAATAAATTGTAAATTTATTTAGTTGCATAAAAATGTATTAATTTTTAATAATTCACCAAATCAGGACCATAAGTTTATAATTGATACATAAGAATCTGTTTAGTTATTATTTATGCAATCTGGTATTAATCTGTAATTGATTATCTACTTTCAATGCACCAACACACAAAATTCAAATTATGAATCAATAATGAACTATCAATTCTATAAACATAATTTAGTGGCTCAAATGGTCCATTAAAATTTAGTGAAATCTTAAATTAGTAAAAAATTGTATGTAACTTGACATTTAATATTAGTTTGTTTTTAATCAATATCAGCATATAATTGTCCGTAAGCATAATTTAAATAATTTGTTTCATAAAAAAAATTATAAATATACATTATATGTTAAATTTCTTACGTTCCATCTAAACCTCGGACTGCATCTTCGGCATCACGTGGATCTTCATATTCTATGAATGCAAAGCCTGGTGGATTTCTTGCTATCCAAATATTTTTCAAAGGACCATATTTGGTAAACAAATCTTCTATTTCGTATTTATTGGCATTGCTTTTTAAATTACCAATATATACTTTACAAGTTGGATCCCATTCACGGTGTTTGGACATATTTTCGTCTTTAAGTTATAAATAAATATAATTAAATTATGTACATAAATATTCAAATATTAATACTGTTGAAGGATTAAAATGTGTACCTTGAGGTTTTTAGTATTTATAAAAAAAATATACCATATTTATTGTAATTGATTATACTATATCTATATGTATTTAATATATTTAAATACAGAAATTTAAAAAATATATTAAATTTCATAATCTAAGAGCAGTTATGCATATTTTTACCTACACAAATAATAACTATTTTTTTTAATTTAGTAGATTGTTAAGAAATTTATCTAGAATCATTATACAAGGTATTTGAAATTTAATTTTGGAGACTATGATGTATTTTTTATCTTAAGCAATTTAAAATATTTATAGCATCTCTTAATCATATTCCAAAGCAAAAAAAAACAAAAAACATGTAATGTCACCTATTCCAGCATTTAACATGTTTTGGTAAAATGAAAATCATACTAGAGTAATAATAGTGGAAAGTACCTAAATGACAACAAACAATAATTGTCTTAACCATAAATATGCTCTTTAACGAGTTAGCTACCTCAGTCATAAACAGTACTCAGAAGTTGTAGCACTAAATTTTTTAGTTTTAGCTTTTAACTATGCACTTACAAACTAGTAAAACAAATAGCATGAAAAATCAAAAAAATATTCATTTAACATGAAAAAATTAAATATAAATTTACAATTTTATAATTAATAATTAACAAGTAAAAATTTTTTTAATAATTCAAATATTTTTAAAAATATAACCAAGTAAATCATTATTTTCAACAAAATACAAATGTTTCCAATACTATATGAAAATATACCCGAAAATAGCAATAAAAACTGTAATAAGCAAAAAAATAAAATAAAATAAAATTTTGGGTATGAGATCAGAGAAGTGTGAAACATATTTGTATTTTCTTTTGCATGTTCATGACCAAGAAAAATATGCATTTGGTACAACTTCCGAACCTCGGTCATAAAATATATGTAATACTTTGAGTAGGTAAATTTAAAAGATAAGCCAAAAGTTACAGGAAAACTATTTTTCTTACTTATGATGGGAAATAATATACTTTAGAAATAATTAATTTTTTATGACATAAATAATATCCACATAATACAAGTATCTCAAGGAATATGAAAGTTATTAAAAAATATATATAGCATTATTAATTGTAAAAGCTGTAAATTTAAATAGGTAATAATAAAAATGTATGATACGTCTTGAAACAACTTCTATGAAAATTAATGATTAAGAATTTGCAGAAATTAAAACCGTTTGTTATTAAATAATAGACATAACGATGTTATGATTTAAAAAACAAAAAACAATTATAACTACTAACTTAAGTTGACCAAAGATAATTAGAATAAGAAAAAATAAAATGGTGAACTTTAATGATTATAAATTATGCAGTTTTAAACACATTTAAGTTTTAATATTTTCCACCAAAACGTAATAGTACAATACAATATTTATTTTACGATAAATACCTAATGTAAAAAAAAAATGTATTGAATAAATCAAAATATTATGTAAATTTATAAAATGTAAATTACACGTGTTTAAGTTAGGTATATAAATCGAAATAAAAAAAAAAGATACGACCCGAGTACGGTAAAATCTGACTAAAAATTACTATTAAACTAGATAGGTTGTATAGAAAGAGCAGTATATTAATCGCAATCAACAGCAAAGAGAAAGAGCCTTGCAGCATGAAGTCAACTATTATACTCGATATATTATGTATGACCGAACATACTTAGTTCTAGAAACTTACATTTATAACTTCTATAACCGATGAGGTTGAAAAACGATAATGATTAATGACTACAAGCGACTAGCCAGTTCTCCACGAACGCCAAGAGTCAGAACGACAGAGACAAGTTAGCAATCTTGATTATTAACCATTGCGACGTTGACGTTTAAAGTAGCGTACTCAATAGTCGACATGTATTATTGTTGAATAGTGAATACTGTTGTATTATAAACCAAAATGGCTACCACACGACTGCATCGAGCCACCAACAGAATTTTATCAATGTATCATTTTATAATTATCTATAATTATATGCAGTTACACCACTTCAATATAGATAAATTTATTCCGTGGTTACACTGTTTTTCAGCAACTAGATACTAAAAAAAAAAAAAAATTAGTAAACATAATTAACATATATAATAATTTATTCTTAAGAGATATTTAATATTTATATGTAAATTAAAATGTACACATGTATTTTTATATCAAATTTGTAAATCTAATATTGGTTGTATAAGCTAATTTCAAAAAACCGTACAATAATATGATATATTGATAAACATATATGCATTATGCATATATCTGTAATATAATATGTTAATTATGTATATAAATTATATTTCTTAAATTTTGATCAATATTATGATCTAAAGAATAAAGACTAACATTTTTAACAAAATTTATTTTAATACTTGCTTCAAAATCTTTTTTTTTTTTTACTTTCCAAATTTTTTTTGTATGAGTACCATGCAAAATGGTTTAAAATAATAATAATATTAGTGTATTGAAGGTATTATGTAAACATATTTTTTCGCTAATTGGTGTGTCTTCAAGTATTTTATTATACTAAAATAATAATTTTTCGTCTAAACTGATTATAAATTTGGGCACATCTATTCTGTGCTGATATTTAGAAGTTTGAGGCAAACATTTTCTCGTGTTACCTATTGCATTTAGATCAATATCAAATAAATACACTCATAATTGTTTTTAATAACAAAAAAATACATATATAGTTTAGAGATACATACTTCATTTTTTGAAAGTACCTACGTGTTTTATACGCATCTATATAATATATACATAAAAAACAATTCTTAATAATAGCATCACCAAATAATTTATAGACAACAAAATATCAAATATGGGTCAGTGATCAGTCACAAAAATAAAATATAATATAACTAGTACTAATACATAATATAATATTAATTTAGTTTTGATACATTAAATAGTACATACTAAATATTGGACTCGCAGAATTCATGTGTACCATTGATTATAGAATAGACAAAAAAATACAATGTTATGAGCTTTGTTTTCTTCGAAAAATTGCAACACACCATTAATTGTCTGTGTGAAACCTTTAAAACAAGGAGGTTGAGTTAATTTTCCTTTTTTTAATTTTTGAAAATTTGTAAAATATTCTGAGGCTTTTTATAAGAAATTGTGTATAGTACCTGATTCAGTTAATGCACATAGATATGAATTTTGGCTATATAAAGATCTGCTATTAAGAGAATCGAATAAATGATTGATAAATTCAATAAAATCTGCAGTATTTAAAGAAGTGTTACTTTGAAGTTGTCCAGTTTGTATACAAGTTCGGATCGTTGCTGACATAGAATGGCTCAATAATTGTGCTGCTAATTTAACATTCATTTTTTGAAAAGAATTTGGATAAATATGTGCATCTGTTATTTTGACGAGACACCTACTCTTGAGATTTTTTTATCTAACTCATATGTTTAACCTTTTATAAAAGAAGCTTTAATTAAATTATTTCTAACACTTTTAGTAAATGTGGCACATCAAATAAAGAAAATATTTTATTGTTATCAATAAAAAAATGAGGCCTATCTTCGGAAACATTTAATGATTTTAAAGTACTTTGATTGTTTGTGCCTTAATCACATACTATAATTTTTGGACACAATCCAACTTCAAATAATTTTTAAGAACATCTTGTATTTAATTTTTTTAAATGTTTTTGTTACTCCAGAATGGGAAAGAAAATATGCAATTGGAATTTTCCACTGAGAATACCTCTGGCCATAAATACTAGAACACAGTTAGCACTTTTATTGGTCCTTCCATAATGCCCCAAGTCTTCAAAACCTTCAATAAAATCAAATTCTTTTGAATATTCTACAAATTCTTTTATATACATCTCATCAAAACAAACAGAGCACACTTTTTCTTTATAATCAGATGACTCAAATTTTTTTTGAAGATGACTAAAAAATAATTTACTAAAATCTGGTAAAAACTTTGATTGACTAATCCAATAACGAATAGTAGATGGTCCTGGTAAATTTACTTTCTAAGAACGTAAAAATTTATATGCTGCTGGAGATTTATAATATAAATTTAAAGCTAATTGTTTTTCAATTAATGTCCAGGGACTACGCTTATCTTTTAATTGCATAGTCACTATTGCCTTAGAATTTATAGAAGAAAAATTATGCATATTTATTAAATTAAATTAGCAGTGTTAGTTAAACGGTTTTTATTAGAAAAATTTGTAAAACTTTCAGGTAGGAAATGCTCTTGACAAATGTACCTATTATGCAGTTTTTCGGGTTCAATCGAAAATAGACTTGTGTTTCCTGTGAAGATAAATCAAATATTAAATAAATAACATTATATTTTTTGGAATTTAAGTTAGAAGAAATAATATTTTATAATTATATAATCTTATATTTTCAAGACAATTTAAACTATCAAGATAAATCAAAATTATAAATTTTTTACCTTATTTCAACTTTAAAGGTTAGTTAATAAAATATTAAAATTTATTTAAATAAAAAAATCATTAATTTTTATTTTCATTCCAATTATTTATATTGTTACTTTTAAAGGGATAACATTTAAAATAAAATACCTATAAATTACGTACTTAGTACAACATTTTCTTTAACATTATAAAAAAAAGAATTAATTATTTATTTACCCGAATTTATCATTCAAACTTCTCTTCTCTCGTCGTTTGGAAAACGATAAAGTCGTAAATTAGGAAACAAATTCCTCAACTTGCCACAATTCACATAATGACATTTATTGCCAGACATTTACAGATAATTTTATACTCAAATAAATGAAAATTATTTTTTGTATAAAAGACTGATCAGTGATCACATAGATCACAATAAGAGTTGGTAACCCAAAAAATTGTCTCTCAAAAACAAGAAACGACTAAACAGTAAACAGCAGTCAATTGGATATTTAACGATATCGGATATGCGATAACGAATTATGAAATAACATATTTTAATCAATAATAATACAAGGAATTCTATTTTCATTTTCATTTCTTTTGAACATATATTCTATTTTTAGAACGACAACTATTGTACCCTTGCTTTTCTTCACCATACTTGGTAGTATGGTAGGGGTACCACCACCTTGAATCTGGACACCCTCCGCTTTGCTTACCTACCTATGAGAGGGTACACCACTTTTGCATCACTTCTACACTAGCGCTTACTTACCGGTTGCATCATTTTCTGCACTAGCGCTCCATAGTGGCTGCATCATATGAATGGTCACCAAAATACCAAATATTAACATTACATTGTCCATCTGTCTATTCTATAACCAATGATGTGTACCAACCTGATTTGTCGTAACTTAAAACAACACACAAAAACATCTATAATATGTTACATGTAGTACTTCACTGTTCATATATTTTTGTTTAGCATATTAGCACACAAAAACAAACTGGTGATATCTTGGTTACGTTACAAAGCAACGTTGATCATGAAACACTATAACGTCCTCGCGACGTTATAAAACATAAATTTCAGTGGGATACCTGTATATTAAAACCACCAACAAAGAGTACCTAATTAAAATATTAATAATTTATTAGCCATTCAGAAAATTGAGTTAATAAATACAATATAATGAGCCAATACACCATTGAGGATATTTCCTTTAATAAATATAATTATATAAAGTTGGAATACTAAAAAAAATTATTATTTTCTAATATGTTATTCTAAAAGATAACAAAAGTCATTAAGTTTGAAATATAAATATAAAATTTTTAATAACAAAATGATATATGACATATATGTACATACATTATACAAAAGAATATAAATAATAATTACAACATCTACAGACTCATACATTATAATATGTAGACCATTGCATGTTAAAGAAACTAAGTTGTTTAAGTTAATAATTTGAATTACAATTTTCTCTAATAAGTTAAAATTTGTAAAAAACATCAGCTTGATTTTAAGTTAAAGATAATATTATTCTTCGAGATTAGTCTATTACTTATTACTGGCCGATACAGTGATACCCGATTCCACATACCTATAATATATCATTCATTTTACGAAAATTAACAATGAATTACTCAATTACGTCAAAACTAAGTTTACATGTTCGCTAGCATGATGTACATTATAGTTTAAAAATTATTTTTCGAAAAACTTAATTTTCACTAGTATAGGGCTGAAAATACGTATTTTTGGCCCCTTTATTGATTATGGTTTTAAAGGAAGTAATTGCGAATCTAAAAACTAAGCTTGCACGTTCATATTACAAATATTTGTGTTTCTAGAAATTAGTTAATTTAACTTACAAACTAGTTTTAAAAATGTAAAAAATACTGTACATTTTTAATTCGATTATTGATTAATATAAGTAAATAATAATTTAGTATAACAGGCATATTATTTTTTAATCAATTTAATTTCATGTTATTTAATTATTACTCATTTGTTGTTAATACAAATTCACAGGTTATACAGGTATGTATACTTATTTTTCATTTGCTTATTGTTATAACTGTACTAGAAACTACTGAGTATTAAACAAAAATAGATTAATATGTTTTTTGGTGTAGCATCATTTGAAATCTGAATCACCTACAATCCGTATCAATTTGGATTCAAGTAGCACAAGTACGCATTTTGAAAAAAATAGAACTTTTAATAGTAAATTCAAAATTTTTTTTTTATAAATGTTAATTTTTCGATTATAGGCATAATATAACTTTGCCAAATTTTTTTTTTTATAATATCATAGTTCACAATAAATATAAAATATAATCTAGACCTATAGATATTAGATATTGTAAGTCAGTAATTTTAGTTACACAAAGAGACACAGAATTGATCAAAAACAATTAAAACGTTATTAATTTATCTAATATACATGATATTATAGTATATTTGCAGTAAAATTTGTTTTGAGAAAAGTATAAACATGATAATATATATTTTATTTGGAAAATTGTTTTCATCCAAAATAATAG